TTATGTCAATATATTATTGATTTTTTAGAATCTATAGATTTAATATGTATAACAATAATACCACAATAAGGGGATGAATTGACTTTGCCGATCATGGCTGGGCTCACATATCTAAGGCCTTAGAAGGGACAACTGGACTGACTTGGCTCAGCTCCATTTGGTCTCTCATCTTCCAGCAGGCTAGCTTATACTCACTGACATGACAGAAGTAGGTGTTTCAAGTAAGAGTGAAAGAACACAAAGTCTCTTGAGGACCAGGCCCATTAATGGCCCTCCATCACGTCCCCATTTTATTTCCCCATGTAAGAGGTAAGGGCAGCCAAGATTTAAGAGGTGGGGATGTAGGTACCACGTCTTCGTTGGAAGAGCTGCAAAGTAACTTTTTTAAAAAAAATGTGGATACATGGAGTGGATACAGAGAATGGGATTATTGTGGCCACTTCTGCCAACCATCTACCACACAGTATTACAACCATTCATCCTGTACTTCCTTGCTCTCTTATAACCTTTTTCTATTTTGTCATTGGTTAATTAAAAAAGAACATATATATATATATTTATATAAATTATGTTCATGTTCATCCAGATTTGAGAGATGGATCCAAGTGCCAAGATGTCTATTAAAGTCCAGATTCTTCATTGCTTGTGGGTGGATACAAGAGCATCTCAACCCCTGTCCTTTCTTGTACTCATATTCAGTCATACTTACTAGCTTTCATTTAAAACACCCCAAATACTTCACTAGTTTGGGATTTGCCTATGCCATCTTTCTGGAATGTTCTTTCTCTTACCCCTTCTCTGCTTCATTTCCTATTCTTGCACCAGTTCTGTTTCAATGTCCCTTCCTCAGAGGATATTCCTTGATTACTCCATCTAAGTTAAGTCCCCTCATTGTCTCTTAAAGTAATTTATTTTTAATTTACATTTTTAAATGTGATGTGGTTCTCAATCAAGGATAATTTTGCCCTCAAGGGGACATTTGACAATGTCTAGAGATACTTTTAGCATCACAACTGGAGGGTGCTATTATTGTCTAGTGGATGGAGGCCAAGGATATTTCTGAATATACTATGCCAGGAACAGCCCTCCTGCCCCACAACAAAGAATTATTTAGTCCAAAATGTCAATAGTGCTGAGGTTGATAAACTCTGCTTTAGGTTACGCATGACAATTTGGAATTATGTCTTTCTTTGGGTATTTAACATCTATCTTTCCCGCTAGACTGAATGCTCCATAAAGATGATGTAATGTCTTTTTTGTTTAACATTGAATATCTAGCATCTAACTCAGTGGTTGATACCAGGTAGCTGCACCATGAATTTGTTAAATGAAAGAAGGAAGAGCAGGCAGGAGGTAAGAAGGAAGGGAAAGACTTCCTAAGGATGGTGTATAAACATTTCTGGGTATAGAGAATGCTGTCAGTGTCCTACCCATACTCTCACATCCCGTAGCGTTTAGATGCGTATTTCCCTGATTTTCAAATGTCAGAACCTGTATTTCTTTGTGTGATGGCTTTTATTAGGCTGGCAGAGCCCACTCTGCCCAATAGCATGACGATCCAGAATGCTGGGGTGTTATTTTCCCCTGGAAAGTGTGTTTTCTGGTGTTCCATAAAGTTCTTCAGTGATATTAAGCTAATCAATAATGGACACTTTATTTGCCTCTTTCCCTACCCTGTCTCAGTTCCTCTCTTCCCTACTAGAGTTTCTTGGGAATACCTCCTGTGGTAGGCTGAATAATGGCCTCCCCCAAATAACCAGATCCCAGTCCCGTGAGCCTGCGAACGTTCCCTTATACGGCAAAAGAACATTCACGTATAAAATGATGTTAAGGATCTTGAGATGAGAGATTATTCTGTGTTATCCGATAGAACCTAAGTGCAAACACACATGCCCTTATAAGAGGGAGGCAGAGATAGGTTTGACACAGAAGAAGGAAATTTGACCACTGGAGCAAGATGCTCCACTGCTGGCTGTGAGGATGAAGGAAGGGAGCACAGACAAGGAATGCAAGGCGTGTAGCTCTGGGAGCTGGAAAAGGCCAGGAAACAGATTCTCTTCTAGAGCCTCCAGAAGGAGCGTGGCCCTGTTGGTAAATCGTTCTTAGCCCAGTGAAACTGTTTTAGACTTCTTACCTCCAGAGCTGTACAAGACTAAATATGTGTTTTTAAGCCACCAAATCTGTAGCAGTTCATTGTAGCAGTAAAGAGAATTTAATGCAGATTTTGGTACCAGGAAGTGGGTTGCTGCTATAACAAATACCTAAAAATGTGGAAGTGGCTTTGGAATTGAATAATGGCTGTAGGCTGGAATAATTTTGAGGTGCATGATAGAAAAATCCTAGATTATCTTGAGCAGTTAATAGAAATATGAATGTTAAAAGTGCTGCTTGTGAGAGCTCAGAAGGAAGTGAGGAGCACAGTAGAGAAAGCCTTAGATAATACTTAAATCATCATAAACAGACTATTGATAAAATATGAGTGTCAAACGTGTTGCTGGTGAAGGTTTAGAAGGAAATTAGGAACATAATATTGGAAATTAGAGAAGAAGGGATTCTTGTTATGCAGTAGCAGAAATCTTGGCTGAATTGTGTCCTACAGTTATGTGGAAAGCAGAACTTGTAAGCAATGAATTGAAGATTTAGCTGAGCAGATTTCCAAGAAAATTGTGAAAGGCGTGTCCTTGTTTCTTTTTGCTACCTATAGTAAATTGCTAGAGATAAGACATAAATTGAGGGAAGAACTATTAAGCAAAAAGGAACCAGGACTTGAAGATATGAGAAATTCTCAACCTATCCAGATTACAAAAGACATTAAAATTAGAGGATTCACTGTCAAGAAAGCATCCTGTCGAAATTAAATCAAGGATGTAGCTAGACATCCTTTTGCTAGTACCTCTGAGGGATCAAAAGATCAAAGTATTCAGTCAAATAGAGGACTCTGAAGTGATACAGGATGTGAATCATGAATAAAGCCTGGCCATCTCGGCAGAAGCAGGGACTAGAGATGAGATTTTCCAGGAGGGATCTGTGAATGAGCCTCTTGTCTAAGAGCATGAATCCCTGTGACATACATGGGACACTAGAAGATTTTTGAGTATGTTAAATCAGTGGAAACAATGCCATCTTTAACTGAAAGGGTAGATAGAGGATGAAATGAAAGAAGGCTGTGAGACTCCCAAAATTTGACAAGCAGAAAATAGGCTAATAAAATTACTCAGCTGCAAACATGTGCTCTGTACAAAATAAAGATGATTCTGAGGGCAGAGCCTAGGGCCTAGAGGGCAGGTCTGTGGACCCAAGTGAAGTCATGGGGTCAGAGGAAGGAGCCTCAAGCTATAGTGGATTATTCTAAGGCTTTGAAAGTATGGAGATTTGCCTGCTTGCATATTGAAATTGCTTGGATCAGAGACTCCTTTCTTCCTACTTTGTCTCTTTTGGAATGGAAATGTCTGTAACTATCATCAGCTGGAAATGAAGCAAAAACAAAGCAGAAACACAAAATTGGTGAAGAAGAAAATTAAAATGAGAAAAAACAAGAAGAAACATCACTTGGTGTTTTGGCTTCACCGAGGACGGCGAAGAAAAGACACATCTGATCTTAAACTGAGCACAAGGTACACTTCTCTCTCTCAACAATGTTTACCTGGTTCTGACAGGTGAATTCATTGAGCATCTCATTGTGGCTTCCAAAATGGTCAAAGGATATTTTTCAAATAGTGTAAAATCAAAACATTCATACATATATGAAATGAACATGTGTTAAAAGATCCTGTTTACTCACTGAGGGAATGGGGAGATGTTATAGCTGGTTCAAAAGAGAATCCAAAGATTAGATACAGCCATATTGATCAAGAATATTTAAATGAATGTGTAAATGGGTGCAAAATTGGTTTTTGTACATCATAAGTGGGAGGGACAATTTAATCTCTAGTAGACAAGACAGTTTACATGTTTATCAGTGACCTACAACTAACAAAAGATTTTAAAACAGCTCAAAGACAATGCAAAGCTAGAATCAGATAACATGGACTGGTGTCCTAAAGACAGGGAAAAGTTTCCATTGAAACACACATTTACTTTTACAATGTTAAAGTCAAGCAGAAAATTACAATTCCCTCAAAATGAGGGTCTAGTTGATGAGGATTTTTAGGCTGCTTAATTTTAAAATGGTTTATGACTTTTAAAACTGCAGATGAGAAGCAGGCTCCGAGGACTGGAACTTTGCTTGCCCTTTTGAGACATTTGTGTTTGTGAAGGAAGGGGGGATGACCTTGTCGGGACCTGAAATTGGCCACCCCAGGATATGTCTCTTTGGCATCAGGATTGTTTTGGGCTGATTGCTTTCGATAAACTGGGACAGGGAAGGAGGCTCTGGGGAATGGAACTTGCCCTTGTTGGGACACATTTACATTTGTAAGGTAAATCTCTATCTGTAAAAGGTGCCTCCCTCTCTGTACCAGGAAGAAGAGGAGAGATGACCTTGTCCCTAGAAACTCTTAATGGGGAAGGCAAGAACTTAAGTTGGTTGCTGTCTGGCAATCTCATGTAACTGGTTTAGGGTGGTGGCGTCTAACCTTTCTAACCTTTACTTAATCCGATTTGATTCTTGTCTAGAAGTCATGGAATCACCCAATGACCAGACCCCACCTGCACTGATACCATTTTAACTTTTTTTTCATGTTCTTTCCTTTGTCTTGTAAAGAGATGAATCAGATACCTATGCCTTAAATTTAGCCCTAACCCATAACTCAGGGCAGCAGCAGAAGCTCTGACTGCCCATGGGTCCTGTCCCCATGCTACACTATTCTCTAAATAAAAGAGCACTGCTGCCAGATCTTAAGAGTCTAAGAAATCTTTCTTTCGACTCCTCGGCTCACTGACCCCGCCTCATAGTCATTACAGTGACCAGGTTCCTGTCATGGACATTTCTAGGCTAAGGACTGTTAAGGGCATGATGGACACCAGTGATGTCATAAAGGCAGGATGTCCCTGACCAATCAGGGCCCAGAGCTCAGGGATACACTGGGAAGGACTGAATGCTGGCATCCAGAGAGGCCCAGACACCAGAATCAAACAGAGCTGATTGGACCCGAAGCCAGCAAACATCATGTCGGAAAAACAAAACCATGACACCTCCTATCAGACTCAAGCCCATCTTCCAACGGCCGAGCTACCTGTGAGCTACCTGGACCGCCTTCTGCAGAAGGATCAGTATGCTCAGCACCAGAGGTCATCCACAGAGGTTTTTCTCTTTGCTATGGTGGACTACCTTACTGACTACATCCTGGAGAAAGTAAGCGCTGAGGTCAGCAACGGCGGTATCATCCCACAAGATGTGGAGGGAGCAGTGGACAACAACGGCGCGCCCCGCCGCCAATTGAGGAATTCAGCCTTCACTCTGTTTGGTGAGATGCCCGGAGCAAGAAGGAGCGGCTGAAGCCTCCGTCAGGGCCTAGTGGGAAGCCTCAGCCTCAGCCCACGCCCAAGCCCAAATTTCTCATAGCTGTAGAATCCTGGCTTCTGTCATCAATAAATGCTATTAAAGGATTCGAATCCATTGCTTTTGACTCCTCAGTTTCTGTCATTTTTAATTGGAGGTATTTGGGAGGCACCCAGGATGAGATATCTTGTGGAGGGTGGGAGGGGTAGAAGGGGTGGGCAGTGTGGATGCTGGGCAGTGTGGGATGCTGGAATCGGTGATTTCAGGGAGCAGTTTCTAATGGTGACAGTGTGGGGAGTGGCCCTCATGGGAGTAGCTGGTTGAGGTTGTGGTGGAGAAGACTTCCTCACTGGCTCTGAGCAAGTCAAGGCCTGTGAGGCCAGGAGGGTGGCGGGGAGGGTGGGTGGGGGGGTGGGGGGTGTGGGATGGGGGGTGTGGGGGGTTTGGGATGGGGCTCCAGGCTCGTTGGATTCCCAGAATGACGGCGGTAACTGGGGAGGGGCTGAAGACCATGACTGAGTGCCAAAGGCCTTATTCACGACAGGGAACGTCGGAAAGTCAGGAGGTGATGGCGGCGGGGGTGGGTGGAGAGGGCGGCATAGCAGTTGACATGAACTTCACGGGACAGGGGCTTTACATGAAGATTGAGGAGTGATGGGGAAACCATAAAGAACTATTCATAAAAGGAATTATCGTCAGGTTGATTTCATCTATCTATACCCTGCCTCGTTCCAAAAGAGGAATTGAGACAGGAATTATTAGCTAGTGCTGTGATGCCCCGTGGGGTGTGTCCTTCCATCCCCCTGTGAACACTGGTGAATTAAATAGGAATATTATATAAAAGCTACTCTCTGGTCTAAAACAGGCAATTCAAGAGGTTCTTCATGGTTATTAATTAATGAATGGGCTCACTTATACATTATTTCGTTTCAAACATAATTATCAATCTCATTCTCTGATGAAACATCTGATCATTTTAATGATCACATATTTGATAGAATAACAGAATTATCAGTGGCCAAATACCTGCTTTGAGAGGTATAAGCATAACCTGTGTAAATTCTGTCCCAAGTGATGGACTCAAATGCATATATAATTCTTGTAAACATTTTCATGCTGGGTGTTAAGTTTAAAAAGGTGTCACATCAAGTGTTATAGCAGTCTAACCCTTCCCCTGTGAGTGTCAACATCTGAGAATGTCACCTACTCATAGGATCCTCCAGGGCCACCCTGTGCAGCCTCCTGGCGTGTCACAGAGGGCTGGTGAGAGGCTGCCCAGCCGGCTTCAACAATGGGCTGAGAGGACCTGGGTTGGCCATCCGAGTTCACCACTTCCTGGCCATGTGATCTTGGACATTGATCTGTTCCCTCTGAGCAGTAGTTTCCTCGTGTGTCAAATGGGGTTAATAAGAGTTCCTCCATCTTCGGGTTTTCCCAAAGGTTAAGTCAACACATGTCAGTAAACTGCTGCATGGCAGACAGTGCGCCCTTAGTAAATAGCTGCATGTATTTCCCTCCCTATGGACCAGATGTTTAGCTGTGCTTCCCCATGTCCCGCTGGGCCTGGTTCTCACGTGATTACTGGATGTTTAGGCCACTGGCTGTGAAAACCACAGCCTGCTGAACTTTGTGGAGAGACAGAAGAGTGCCATGCAGAGGGAGAAGGCAGAGGTGCATCCAGGAAGCAGACAGTCCTCACCCTGGTTTCCTCTCTGCTCCCCTCTGCCTGGTGACTCACCGTCTCTCTGCCTCCTTCCACCATTTATTAAAGCCTGGAGCTGGCTCCGCCTTTGCCTACTTCACTGGAGGGTCCTGAGAATAGTAGTGTTGGGTCATGCTTAGAGCTTGTTGGAATATGTGCCTGTATAAATCCAAGAAACTTTTCTTGCCGCATAATGCGATTCCACCAGATATTTACAGAAGCCTCGTTGTCAAATGTCCACCCCACAAATTTGTGCTTTGTTCTAGAGAGCCATGAAGCCCTCCCAGCCTTAGCCAAGTTCAGCTGTTCAAGATCTTCTGTGCATGTGAGTCGGGAGCAGGCCTCTCCCCAGCGACTGCAGGTGGAGAGTCACCTTCAGCTGATCACATGAAAGCACCAGCTTTGCCACCCCATCCCTGAAGTGGGGCATCTTTGTGTCTAGGGCGTGGTTTCTCATATTCCAGTGTCCTTCAGCAAACAGGGAGTGCCTCCAGGGTGGGCAGAGCCAGGGAATCAATCATTATACTAAGATCTTGATATGTTGGTTGATTAAATAGCTGTCCCACATTAAAAGAAAAAAACAACAGCTGTGGATTTTGGCTTATGGCTATGGTTCGTTCTAGAACTAAACATGATCTCCTAGATACTTCTCTGGAAGGGACACCTGAGGAATTGAAGGCCGGAGAAGCCATAGGAGGTGGATACACCATGTCCAGTTAGCAGGTCTGCGTGGTCAGGTGTCATCTTACAGTCCATGCAGTAGTTGACACTAATGGTCACTGTGACATCTGTGGGGAGCCAGGCTTCCTGGGCTCCTTCAGACTCTCTGATGTCCCAGGTGGAGTTTGGAGGTTGAGCTTTAATGACCTCGTGTTGGCAAGTCCTCGGCAGAGTCACAAGGACATGGGAGAAGGAGGCAGAGCAATACTGCCATCCCTTTAGGAGTTGTGCTCCAGCTGTGCTTGTGGATTTCACAGGAAGCAGGGGGCCACAGTGAGGATAGCATCGGTCTAAATGCGGCACCTTGCCAAATCCCCCTCCTACACGTGCACAGGGGTCCCACACTCAGGGGAGGAAGGTAGGCGGAGAGTGAGAATCACTGCCCTTGGGAAAGGATGAGCAGCCCAAGTTTAGGCCTTTTGTGCCTTTTGAAAGGACAAGTCGGGGGATGGTAAGGAAGGATTTGCTCTAGCCTGGCCCTGCGGAGAGGACACTGTGCGAAAACTAAAACTGGAGTGAGTAGGGACGGGACTGGGGAGGGTGTGGTCTCTCCCACACCAGGCCTGTGATCAAAAGCAGTGTCAGGGGAGGCCAGGGGCAGGCACGTGACCACAAGACACAGGTCAACACAGGAGGAAACATCACATCTGAAAAGAGGTGAGCCCAAGAATGAGCCTGAGGGGAACTTGGAGAGTAATCCTGGTCTAATGTTGGTTTGAACCCACGCCTTGAAACTAGGCTGGCATCCCACTGAGAATAATGTTTGGGAACACAAGTGTTTTGAAGGCCCATGCTCCCTTTGTCCCTGTGTCTGACAGATACCGCAGGACGTGGCCAGAGGAGACAACTTAACTATTTAGAAAGGGCTTGTGGAGCCACAAAATAGGATTCAAGATGGAGGAGACTGTCTGTGAACATCAATATGTCATTTCCTTAAAGAACGAATTACAAAGTGGCAGCTCACGGACATAATCTCGGCAACAGATGGGATCATTAGGCCTACATAGATGTTTTAAAAAAATTAGCTCAACATTTAAAAATTAAGAACTTTTAAACTGGAAACCTCAATTACTGGCTTCTCTTGTGAAATCAAAGTGGCAGGGCGTACATGGTTACAGTCAGATAAAGATATGACTAGCTACTGTCCCATTAATATTGGGCCTCTCTGGTTTGCCACAGTGCTCACCCTTCCCTGTTGTATCTCATGTGTGACCCGCTTCACTCATTTATAGTACCTACCTGGCTGCTAAAGATACTTGAGTTCATTATTCCCATTGTAAGTTAGTTCTAAAACCATAGTTTTCTAAAGGATGAAATCTTCTCATTCAATGAATTAATACAGTGCAGTGCTCTTCAGATGGTCTGTGATATAGGGCCAGTATTTTCTGTTATTCTTGTACAAATTCATTGTGAACTGGTATATGGTTCTGTTTTACATGACTAGTATGGAGCGTACATTTGACTCTTCACTCGAATCCAACAAGACCTGAACTAATATATACCCTGTTCAATAAGATGACTCCACTCGCTTAAACCTTATGGCAAAGCCAGATTGCTATAAAGGTCACTAAGTGCCGCTTCTCGATTTCCATACCTGCTGTAGCTGACCAGTAACAAGTTAATGACTATATCAGTCCACAAATGACATTTGAATAGCATTACAATAGTGAATTTATTTTATTTTATTCTTTTAGGAGTATGGGTTTAAATCTAAGGACTGCATTTGGTGTTTTGCTTAGTGTTTCTCCTCCAGAGTCCTTCGTGAACACAGAAGACTGGTCTTTCTTATTTAGGGTTCTCGAATCACTGTGGGGAAAATATCTCTAACCTTCCTCTGTTAAAGCAAAATCTGCTAAAGGAACCCAGTGGGCAGTGGGAGACAGGTTAGATACCGTGGTTGTGAGAGATTTGGGTCTTGAAATAGAAGGATGGATGAAAGGCATTCACCAACTTGACTGTGGAAGAGAGTCTTCAGCATATATTGGGACAAAATAGTGAAAGAAGAGGGAGGAAAACTGGATTCTGGTCTCCTGTAAGTGTGGTTTACTTGGGGCACGTCACCTTCTGTGGTTGTAAAATGAGGAAGTTGGACTAAATTATTTCAGATGTTGGCTTGAAGTGTTATAATTACCAGTCTACGATCTTTTCCTAAGAAAAGGTCTCTACTGAAAGTGAGTAAGTGGAACTCAGAGAACAAGGATTATTTTTTAGGGTCTCCATTTTACAGCTGAGGCCACTTTGGCCCAGAGATGGTAATCAGCTCTCCCGAGGTCACATGCCCGTGGGTAGAACAGCAAATGTGACGTCCTGTTCTTGTACCTGTTGTTGAAGCCCCTCCTCTCCTAGATCCTGAGAAATGGGCGGGCTCTGTACAGAAAGCATTTAATGCTCTCTTCTGGGAAAAATGCAGAGATGTGAGAGTCTCTTGGATTTCTAGGAAAGCACTCTCAACAACTCACTCTCAAGAACTTTCACTGTGTTTTATTTGGAGGCCAGAGACGTTAGGACCAAAGGACTGATTTTATAGAACAGGTCTTTGGCCTTTGCAAACCTAGGTCTTGTTCCACTGGACATTGTGATAGCCGTGTCATTAACCCATCTCCTTCTCAAATAAGGTGTTCTTGAAACTCTGACTCTGTCCACTGACCTGGTCTCAAAGGTGGTTATGTGATGACATCAGAACCCTGTGCCCAAA